AGTAATCTTTGTTTCAGACAAGAGAGGGAAATCGATCCCTTTTCCTCTTTACGAAAGATGCAGGGTTCTTCAGTACCGTACATCGTAAGAAATCTGCATATTTCATTTCATTTTTCTTTTTTTCGTTCAAGTAGCTGGGCTTAAGCTTATTTCTGTGTACGTACATCATACATTAAAGCATGTAAATTTTAAGTAAACAATAAATCATCCCAATCCAATCCAACACCTTAAAAAACGGAGCAGTGATGTCAAGCTCAAAATGCCAAGGATGCCTATTCCTAACAATGAAAAATCTACATCATGCCCCCCCCCCCAGTTTTTTGCTTTTATTTCGTTTTCCAAATACTCCTATTTTTGAGCCGATATATTACGGCAAAGAATGTGGATAAATATTGAGGTTCATTTGAATGTTTTTTCCCTTGGGCAGGAACGTAATAAATATTACTAGTACAAACTAATGTCTATTGTTATAGTTTAACTCTGTCTAAAGACTCATAAGTTAAATAGTACAGCGGTACATATTGTAATGCGACTAGGCTGTTTTAAGCCGATTGGCGCGGGCGTCCCCGCTGCGCCCAGCGCCTCCATCGAACGCCTCGCCGCTCCTTCGCCCTGAACGTGCCCGCTCGATGCGTGCGCGGCGGCGTCTGCAGGCGCCGGCCGCCCGACCTGCGCGTGTGCGACGGTGCACCTACGGCGTACGCGGCCGGGGAAACAACCCCCACGTGTTTTTCTGAATCGCGGTCGTGGGCCGGCTTCTCGTGTGCGCGGACAGAGGCCGGGGCCGGGGCCGGGGCTGACGCGTGGGCCGGCTCCACCCCCGCGCCGCCGCCCCGCTTTGCGATCCCCGCCAGCTCCGCGCTCCCCGCCGCCGCCGCCGCCGCCACCCCCGGCTCGATAGCGGCGCGCGCAGCCAGCCCAGCCCGGGCGCCGGGGCGGTGGGGGCGAGCGAAGCAAAAAGCCATTCGTTCGTTACCTAGGCAACCGTATAGTCGAGATGAGATGAAATGAAGGGGTATACTCTCTGTCCCTCCCTTGCCGTCAGTAGGGATGTGAAAACGCGTTTGCATGAAAATTTTACATTGTCATTTGATATGGAAAAGGCTGAGAGAAATTATACAATTTCCAGCAATTTAAAATTTGAAAATATGTTTTAAAAAGTGTACTATTATGATAAATTGATAATATAGTAATTGATTTATATAAACTCCTAATGATCAAACATGATATCCGTCCTGTACTCTCAGATATACAAAATAGAGGAGGATAACTGTCAGTTTATTGTTATTATTATTATTATTATTATTATTATTATTATTATTATTATTATTATTATTATGAAACATCAGGTCTTTAATTTTGGTAAAAAGTTCAAATACGTCAAAGCGAATCTCATTTCAAGAAAATACCCGAATATGGGATCGATTTGCAGCATCTTGGTATGAGGAGACTGGGTAAAAACGGCATTCTTAATAGATGTGGGAGTGCGTAGTGGACAAAAGCTATTTCAATTGTGGTGGCAAGTATCCTTACGAAAACATGAAATCTTTCCCAATTATCTCATTTTATTAACAATATTGCTGTTTTTGATGTTGACGTTTGTTGCCCAAGTATTTGTGTCGGTAAAAATCATTGCTAATGCTTCCGGAATTTACGCGATACATTTTCAATATCTTTGCCACTCCTCGTCTCGCGAGGCAGCACAATTCTTTCCATATTTTTATCATATCCAGTGATAAGCGTTTGCTATTAGACCTCATATCAAAACGCACGTGCGATTGACTTGCATCACAGAACACCGCCTCATGAAAAGGAAACTTGTCGCACAATAAGACAATAATAAGGCTGTGTGTGGCTTTTGTTTGGAATTATTCCCTTTTATGTTTTCTTATGATTTGTATGAAGTATGTATTACAAGTATACAAATAGTATTCCTTTACTGGGCGCGTATCACATAAAAAAGATGAACAAAGGGAAAATTGTCCATCTCTCCCTCATCGTTGAACTCAAGCAGGCATTTTTGATGGCATGGTTAAAAGTAAGGCTTTTTCAATATGCTATTTCAGTACTTTTTGAAGATAACTTTAATCTTATTTCGAACGCGGTACTTCCTTAATGTTAAGGTAAATGTTGGTGCAAGATATATTTGAATACTGGTTTTTGAAAGCAGGAAGACGAAGTTTGTATTCGATGAATTTGAGAATACGACTTTGAAATTTAATGAATTTACAATATATTCGCAAAACAGAATTATTAATCGAAATATGAATTCAGAATTCCGTTTAAAATAATATGGCTGTTCGTTTTTCTGACTGTTTCTTAGCAAAGAGCGTGCTAGTGGCTCGACGGCCAAGCGTGGGTATCAGCACGGAACGCGCATTGTTGCCATGTCGGCTGCGGATTCCAATCTCGTAGGTCTTTCGCGTTCGTCTTCGGACTCGCGCGACGCAAATTTCAAACAAGGGGAGACATTTTGGAGATCCGCGGGCCAAAGTTGCGTTGTAGTGTTG